CCAGCGCGTGTGCGTAAACGACCGACTTTAAATTCTTGTTTTTTCTATGTTCAATGATGCGCTTTTCAAGCGCTCTCTTAGTCTGCCCGATGTAAGTGGCATCACACGATTTACAATCGAACTTGTAGACAGAATTGACTTGATCTAGAGTTGATGTTTTGTCTTTACCTAATCTGATAATATTGTCAATTTTGTTACAAATTGTCGGCAAGAGTTTTACATGATGACTTTTTAATAGTAAAGACGTGAAATTCAACAGGTTGTGAATCTGTGGGACACATAGGGTAGCTCTATTGACGTCAATATCAAGCGCCCTGTCGTCATGTGCAGCAGATGGTTTGTGAAAAATGTGATGTAATCTTTTGTCAATGTATTTTTGGCAGAAACGCAACGGGTAATTATTTTGCNGCATGAATTTGACTTTGAGGGTGTAAAAATATTACATACTGAAAATAATCTTCACAAAAGATTAATAGCTGAGATGATCTTCATCAAAAAACATAAAACGTCGATCAACAAACAAGAGGACACAAGGGGACTTAGCTCGATGTATAGAAATATATTGAATAATTTAAAATTGTAATCATATCATTGTCACTGTCTTCTTTGTTTTCGTGTTCGACAGATTTTATTATTATTGACCGGATTGTATAACTTTCGCTCCTATTTACCTAATGTATTAGTTTTACTTGCTATTCCATCGCAATAAGGTGTGTAACTTAATATCTCTGTTTGATCTTAAAATAATTTTATATATTGATTTGTCATCTATTATTAATATCATAATTTTCTAAACAGCCTGATGAGGTCGTTAAAAATACGACGAAACGTTGCTAATAAATGACTTCGTCAGTCTTTGCCGAAAAACGGAAATATAATGTGTTTTTAACTCATTTTATTTTCCCATACTGCCTAAACGGATCATTTGGCGAATGCTAAAAAATCCCTAATTTAATCATAAGTAAGTGGCAGCATTGCGAATGTGATGAGACATTTTTCCAATATCACACAAGAAAATTTTCTTTCAAAAAAAACTTTACTTCAACTTTCTCTTTACTTAATTTTTAATTAATTTTACTTAATTGTTAATTAATCAGCTTGATTAATTAGGGTGTACTTATCCAGGGTCTCAGATTATTGCATTCAATTACAATAGTGGTAGCAGTAGTACAATGTATCTTATAAGTATCGTAAGACTACGCGTAACGAGCTCTCTGCGTATAACCTATCTATGTATCAGCACCACGCTTATGTGCCACCAAGAGTGTGTAATACTTTCAAAATGAGGTTATTCTAGACCATCACGTTAATGGGTGCCAGTTTATAAGGGGGTTTTTGGGGCGTCTCAAATAATTATAACACATTGCTCTAGGTTAAATGATAAATTGAAAGATAATAATTTATTGAAAGTATCAAATAAGATGCCAGTTCGTTGGTTTTAATAGTAAGGGCGCCACCACGTGAACGCGGCACGTGGACCGAAAAATACAAAGTAATAAAATAATAATAATTGAGTGATATTATTCTGATAACTGGTTTCGTTTTTTCTTGTATACAATCTTTTTCGTCTTCAATTTTACAATTAATTATTCGTCTAGCTTAGCGGAGAGCAATTAACACTCGCGAAAAAGTCTCGGAGGGACGCGGGGTCACGGGGGGAAGATTGTACTAACCGCGCGAGAGAGCTCGTATTTCTTATGCGTCTAGGTTACTTAAATTAGCTTACGATAAATCTTCTTTCTTCGTCGATAATTTCTGGTGGCCGGATTCCTCGAGGCTGGACGTCATCACCAGGGATTCTGCGAAGATGGAGACACACTTTTCAATCCTTTTCACTTTTACTTTCTTTGCTTTCTTTTCTGTAGTCAAACACGACACACTTCATACATGCGTTGCGTACAAGCAGACTTGCGGTAATAATATGGCCGACTCCTACGTGGTCGTACTCGTCGTTCTCACGTGTCGTCTGAAGCGACACGCGAGCGCCAATCGATTATTGATCGATAGGTCGATGATTCTCGTCTGCTCATTTCACGTGTCGACGCTGTGGGTTTCCGTCTGGTATGCGTTCGTTGTTAATTTCGTCTGCTGCTGGATGTTTTTGCTATCTCAATGGACTGTCTCGTGTTTGTACGTATGGTGCGAGTTTTCGTACGCAGCAATTCTGATGTTTAGCTTGAGATTGGTCTCGACCGAGATGCAGGTGTCGAACTAATCTGTCACCTGTCAAATGATGTTGATGTTTAGTGGCCTCCATTCTCATATCGTTCTTTATTGTATGCGTCTGGTGATAAGTGTCTCGTCGTCTTGATCTGATCTCGTCGCTTTGCTTCTCTCTCTTCTCCAGGTTTCAGGTGCTAAAGTGTATGTGGGAAAACATGAATGTGTGATAGGGGCATGATGTACAGGGTTCGTCTCGTCGTCATAGCTTATTTCTACGCGTGAGCTCAAGAGTGACTTTCATCGACTTGTAGCGCATTAAGTATGCCGCTACAGTCGTTATTTCCATTTTTGGTGACCTTGAATGGTCCTACTATGTCCAGAGAGATTTTTTCTACGCTTGTATGTGGTGCATTAGTAATAACTAGTGGTTGTCTTGTTTTTATACGTACGAGCTTCTTGAATTGGGATGTTGAGCATCTTTGGATGAATTTGTTGATATCTTTTTTCATATTTGGCCAAAAATACAGTGGTTTCATTCGGCTATAAGTCTTCGTCACTCCTTTATGTCCTCCTATCGCTGAGCAGTGGATTTCTTCCAGGATTTTTACTCTATCCTGTGCTTGGATAAATTCTAAAGTTCCATTGCAAATAATAATTTTTGTTTTCACTTCTGCTAATTCGATTTTTGATAAGCTTTCTGAGAAATCCCATGGTGTATTTTCTATTGAAGTAGTCTTCGCTATACTAAGACTGCTTGGGTTGTATTTGATCAGGAGGTGTTTTAAAACTTTAACGCCTTTCTCGATGTTGCTCATTATTGTTGGAGTGCTTTCTGGTCTTTCTCCTCGTAAAGTTATTCCAAACTTAAAATTTTTCCCTCTTCTATGTACTGATACTTCTCCTTGTTGTCCTGCTACGAATTTAGGTAGTGTTGACTGACATTGTCTGCCTCGCTTGTTTTATCTTCTCTATCATTGGGCTGTCTTACGTCATTTGTATTGCGTCCTTTTATCTTATTTTCCTCGTTATTGGTATGGATCTCTGAATTCTGTTTTTTCTTCGTGTAAGTCCTAGTTAGTTTGTAACTTACGGGATTTGCCGTAGCTCTGTGTGGACGGGCTTCGATTGCATTTATGTTTTTGATAATCGGATTTCTTGATAGACAATCTGCAACCACATTGGTACTGCCTTTCTTGTACTGTATGTCAAAATCGTAGCAAGATTGTTTAAATTGGTATCTACTTACTCGAGAATTAGGATCTGTACTACTTCTGAAGTACAGTAGTGGTTTGTGGTTTGTATAAACTGTAAATCTGTTTCACATTAAGTATGGTTTAAATTTTGGTATAGTAAATACGATCGCTAGGGCTGCTCATGAATATGCGTCATATTTCCTCTTTGTATCATTCAGTGTGCGTGATACAAATCCGATAGCGTATCAATGTTATCTTTCTTTTGCTTTCGCTGATCGCGAACGCTGATGCGTCGAATGTGACAATTTGCGAATAGGGCAATTTTGGGTTTGCAATTTGCAAAATAGGCTGCTCACATAGCCTTTGTTTAAGTATATTTATGGCATTTTCACATTCTTCATTCCATTCGAAATCCATACCATTATAGTTCCAGGCGCCAAAATTAGCTGATCTGTTATTTCTTTTTAACAAGACTCTTTCATTATTATTTATTCTTACCCACGGCGCTATGGTTGACTTTTTTATCAAACTTACTGCTGTCCCTGTACCTATCATCAGTTTCGATGACCGTCTTAACGGGCTGCTTATTATATCTATCGTTGCATATCGTATGCTATGGAGCACACGAATGCATAGCACATGTTTTATTATCTAATGGGAGACGAGGACCGACGAACTTGGAAGAAGATTCTAGAGTGACGAGGACTTATCTTGGGGTCTGAGCCTGGGAGAAGAGGACCAACCATTGGGCCTTTTAAAAAGGCATAGTGCTAGACAATCAAGGCCTTATTCTAGATTTTGACTTTTCAGCACTAACAAAGCAAGTTTTAGAGAAGAGTCAGCCTAGCTGCACCTCGATCGAGGCAGACGGATAGCTAGTGGCTTGTTATCCAGACACAGCCGGCCCGTGTAGTTTAAGTGCAAGTGCTGCAATATCAGAGTCTTACGAAAATCGAATTAAAGTTTTAGTCAGAAGTACTAGAGTTATTATTTCAAGTTAAAGTCTAAATAATTTTTGGGAATTAAACTCTGTTCTACTCAACTTGCTCAAGTGATTCCGGCTTATCCTCTGAAGATCGTTGATTCGCCATCGTTGGGGGCATCATCGAGCCAAGAGGAAGCCAGACTTGTAGGGTGTGTGCATTAAAAGTTAATTTAAATTAATTTATGTGAGTCATTTAAAAATTATAAAAACAATTTTCCACGAGTTATTATTTCAACCATTCCCTTCTAACCCACTTCTGCGACAAAGAATCATAAATTGTAAACTATGCGATATTCGTTAACTCGGATGTCACACTCAGACGCGTTAACTCACGTATATTTGCATGTGCCGATAAGGAAGGGAAACGAGGTTTTTTGGCCCTTACCGAAATTTGCCGTGGCAGGTGTGGCGTGGTAACATAACACCATGTTACAGGGTTAATATAGTTTCTAAAAGTTAAAATTTTTAGCTAGTTTTTTTTCGTTTTTTCTTGTCAAGATCTTACATGAAACTATACGTAAGTTCGCACGTAAATTTTGCGAAAGAAATTATAAACTTATTTAAGGGTTTCAAGTAAAATCAGTTCTTACATTTGGTATAATAAAAAATTCATGGACATTTTTTTAAACATATAGATTTACTTAGAAACAACAACATACCTGGAGATATGCAAATGATAACACTTATTCCGATTCCAGGTATCTCTTCAATACAATAATCTACACCTGGCTCGAACATAAAGGGAACGTAGTTAGGAGCGAAAATGGAACCATTTGAAAGTAAGTAGTATGAGTCATCGGTAAATTGAACAGGATCAAGAATGTATTTCAATCTGTCAAAATGTAGTTCAATTTATTTTCCAACCTTTGATTGTAAATAATATGAGTAATTCTCGTATAGTTTGAAAATACGAGTTATTATTTGAAAAAATATTAGTTGATATAGTGGTACATTATCAACGGTGATTTTCTTCACTACTCATGAAATATAAACTAAAACATACTCGCTTGCACGATTTTCGAGTACAAAGATTTCAACTTGTCCCCAAACGGCAGAGGACATGTTTATGAAAAACAGGTATTTTATTTACCATTCGGCATAAGCTTACTTGGAAAACAGACTTCTAGTTCGTATTCAGTTCTCCAAAAAACGTAGAGTCTAGAGGGTCCGTTCTCTGGTACTGAACTTTTAAATTATTTTGTGTGCCTGTGTAATTTATGATAAAGATGTGCATAATAGTACTTTACGATACAAGTGCCATAAATAACACTTTTAGGCAAGGCGTAGTTTAGGGCCCGAGCTCAGCGAGAGGCCTAATAGCTGGGCTGAAAAGTGTCCCCATGGCACGAGTATCGTACAAAATTTTATAGCACTTTTCTAAGTTCACATTTATGCCCCCTTTTCCGAGTCATGAGTCGTACTTTCTGGTAGCGTGAAGTGAGGTTAGCGCAAGAGCGTATGCAAGTGTGATGTGAACGCCGCGGTGCCAGAAGTGCGACTTATGTCGCCGAAAAGCGTGTCATAAATGTGAACTTATACCCTGCAGTGCTATAAAAAGTACTATTATGAAACGGGTGTGGATATGCTTTTTTTGCAAAACGAGTTTTTTAGAAAAAGCTTACTCATACACGTTGCATACAACATTTTATAGCAAAAGAGTCAAAAACTAACGTCAAAGTTACGATTTTTAGATTAGAGTGCTATAAAGGTATCTTAAATCTTTGATCGATCAGGGGCTGCGCCAATGTATTGACTTTCCAGCCCTGTAGAGGTTAAGGAATCTACTTATGATAATCGATACGGAAAATGTTACACCCAAAAAATCGACCATGTCTATGAGAACGATCTCCCATACTAGTGCGTCGAAAAGTATCTGTCGTAAAAAGATGTCGCGAAAAAAAATCGATTTATCCAAGCAAGTCAAATGAAGGACACAATTGCATGAAAATAATTTTCAAATTTAAAATTATGAGATTTAAAATTGTGAGATTTTTTTCCGTGGTTTCGAAGCAGATATTTTCTTGAGTTCACGAGATTATTTTCGAAGGGACCGTCATACTCCCAAACTATAAGAAAAAATAATTTTTATTGATAAATGTAAATTTCTACAAATGGAACAGTTAATAAAAAAATGTTCGATAAAATGAGAGATGAGGCCCGTTGAGAAGTTTTACAATCTACTTGACCGATTCTTACCAAATTTTATATTTACCAGACACTCTTATAATTATAACTATTAAGCATATAGAACAATTTTTGAATTTATTTTGAAAAATTATGAAAAAATATGGTGAAAATTTGGTGAGAATCGGTTCGGTATTTTTCAAAAATTTTCAATATGGTATTGAGATATTTAAGGTGAACGTTATTTTGTGAAAAATGCATTCAGAGTTTTTAAATACTTTTTAGTGCTGTGTATAAACTCACGCTCAATCCTGATTTTGACTTACTTGGAATTTCAATTTCTATTAAAAATTTATAAGATGATTATTGAAAGTATAAGCAATTTGAAAATGCAATAAGAAAATCTAATTTTTGAAAATGACCGAGGGGTAGACCCCTTAAGCGCCCAAAAGGAGATTAAACTTAAGGGCTTACACCGAGCTTAATTATTTTTCATTTTTCAATTACAGTACTAGGCTGTAAAAGTGAAAAAAATTTTTTTTTTCAATTACACACATGATAACCCTTTTGAATACCCTATTTGAAAGTATTGTCAAGTTAGATACTTAGGAACAGTTAAGTACATTAATAGTGGGGGTGTTGATACTCAACAAAAGCTTTAAACACGTCTAAGCTACCTGTAGTAGAAATCCAAGAGCAGGCATTAATCTATGGTAATCCATGTGGTCTCATTTTGTTCGATAGCCAATTGGCCATGGTCGCAACTAAAAGCTAGCCATAAGATGAACTGTATAGCTACTTGTGTACAATTTTCTAGAATTTAGTATTCATTTTTCAACATTTTTCATAAATTAATTTCACTTTATTATATGTACAGGTAGTTACAGTTCATCTTAATGGCTAGCTTTTGGTTGCGACCATGGCCAATTGACTATCGAACCACATTTGCGCCTTTAGCTGGATGCCTGCTCTTTCTACGACAGGTAATAGACGTGTTTAAAGCTTTTGTTGAGTGTCTTTAGCCCCCCTATTAACGTACTTAACTGTTTCTAAGTATCTAACTTGACGAAATACTTTCAAATAGGGTATTGAAATGGATTATTATGTGTGTAATTGAAAAAAATTTTTTTTTCGCTTTTACAGCCTAGTACTGTAATTGAAAAATGAAAAATAATTAAGCCCCCTGTTAGCCCTTAAGCTTCCTCATAGGTTGCTTTACATTAGCAATATTTTAATGGACATTATAAAAAATAACGTAAAACAAAAAATGAACCATGTTCGAGTGTTAGCGCGTGCACGAGGACTTATCAGGGTCAGAGCGAGGTAAATTGCTAGTAATTTATTAGTTGTTGTAATTGGCTCAAGTCATCAGTTTTATACATTTGTAATCTAGCAATATAGTGCTAATCAATAATTTAGTAGTATATTATTTTATTCTTATTTTCTTAAAAATTGTAAGTAATGAAAGTTGTTATAAAAAGTATAAAAAATAAATTTAATGATCGATCAAAAAGTATTGATTTAAAAATATTCTGCATTAACTATTGAATTAAATTGAAAAAAAAATTGTGATTTATGTTACCTTTCAGATGAACATGGTGTTCCAATAATAGTATTCACATTTTTGTATCTTGATCCCGATGAAAGTATACCAGTTTTATTAAAATTATAGAAGATCGGTTCAAAAAAAATTGTTGAGTTCCATTTGATACATTGCATTTTCTCGTGTTCACTAGGAATCAAAACTTCATTGGAATTGCAACATTTCGCAATTACAGGCAAAAATTCTGATTTCTTGAAAGTCTATTATATAAATTTCAAATAATTAAATATATAAAAATTACTAAAACTAAAGTTAAAAAATGACTCTAAATTTTGAAAATTGAAAATAAAATTGTGAGTTATATTGAGATACTTGGACGGTGTTTATCATCAACAGGAGTTAGCAGAGGCTTTTGAGCCACATCACAATACGATCATCTATGATGCATCCTCGGAGTTACCGTCAACATAGGTAAAGAGGATCAATGAGGTCTGTCTGATTAACCTAATTTTTTACTTGTTAATTTGTAATTCGCGTTTCCTTCTTCAGAGATCACAAGGTAATCTCATTAAAATGTTATCAATATCATCGTACTATACTGTATTATCAAAAATAAAAGAGAGGGAGCGCGCGTGTCGAGTGTGACACATGTATATGACGAGGCAAAAGAGAGAGCCGGATAGTGCGAGGTGCCAATAAATGTTAAACAATATAATTGCTAGTTATTTATTTATTCTACCTAAAATACGTAGGACACTACAATCATCACACTTGAAAGTTGAGATTAATTATAGCACACTGTCTCCCCATTTACCCAAGACTCTATCCTTTTTTGTCTGCTGACGTAATCACAGATAACACCTTAAGGTAACTGTATCTCGGTGACCTGGACACTCCAGGGCAATCACTTTTTTCGAAAAATTGCGATAACAGGCAAAATACAACAATATTAACATATGAGTTGACTTTATCGCTCCTAATAATTATTCTGGGTTAAGAGAACATTCAATTATCTTTTTGTTTTATAATTCCATGTCACATGAAATAACTATACCCTAATAGCACGATACGTTTTCACAAAATTTCTGAAACGTTCGATTTGACTAGTCAATGTTAAGCGTTTTGATCATGTGGACTAAATTTAAGTCGTAGCAGAATTGATAAATTTTTTTTTTCATTGACTGAAGTAATCTGTCAAAAATGAAAATTTTTTTTTTTTTTAATCAAACTTTACTTTTTGTTGAGCAATAACATTGAGGATCAATAATTACAGCGGCAACGCAGGAGATCGAAGAAGGTCGTACTAAATTTTGAGCTCTATGCTCTATACTAATCTGTTTTTTTATATTCCTTTGGGGTCTTGGGCTATGGATACTTAAGCTTCCTAAAATTAATTTACTCAATTTCAATTTAATATGTTTAACCTCAATCAAAACTATTACTCAATTCATTTAAGGTTATTTATTTAGAAAAGCTTTATTCTTCGATGATTACAGCAGTACAAATATTGTTTTATTTGTAATTCACACATAAAACTTCTATAGGACTTCCAAAACGTCACACTAACATTCAACGAGAATTTATCTCACGTTCTAACTGTCATCCTACAGTTGATTGGCTTCTGTTTTTACTCTTTTTCAAGTTTCAACCGATAGTTTCCTCTCTCCGACATATAAATTACAGAGAGAGATCACCATATAATGGTACCCATGGTAAACATGAAACATAACACACAAACGATCAGTTATATAGAGTGTCACAAAAGTATGAAAACCGCCTAAAAGCGGGTTGAATATGCGAAGAAAAAAATCAAAAAATTCATATCTGACGTATTTTTTGATGGGGAATCCAATGATAACCTTGGATTTGACCTTAAATAACCTCAAAACTACAGCGACCCAAAAATCGATTTTTCAAATGGAAACCTCTATTTTTTATTGCAAATTTGAAAAGAAAATTTTATGATAAAACATGTAGTTTTTTTATTTTCAAGGTCATTTCAAGGGCGTTACAGACTCGAATAAAACCCCGATATAACCTAAAATTAAGCTCAAGTAAGAATTTCATTTTCTAACTGTAGCGCCCTCAAAATTACCTTGAACAAAAAACAAAATCCATATTTTAACGTAAAATTTTTTGTTTTTTTCAAATTTGAAATAAAAAAAGTGGGGTTACCATGTGAAAACTCGATTTTGATTTGCTGCAGCTTTTAGGTTATGTTCTAGGTCAAATTTAAGGTCAGCATTGGAAAGAGCAAAAATTGTATAAAGTTTTCCACATCACTACAGAAATTACGCAGTTGTTTAAAAAACACAAAATATTGATTACAATTTTATTTTCATTTATCACTTTCCGTATGAAATTATTTTGGGTCTTTATTAGAATTTTCCCGCGGAGAACTATCCTGGTAAACCATGTAGGATTCAATTGATTGTGAATTTTTCAGTTCGAGAGAGGTTCAAATTGAACAATATATCAATTTATTTTTCAAAATATTCTAGTTGTTATATGTTTTTTAAAAAATCAAAGAATCTAAATCTCAAAAAATTTAATTTTTTATTTTTGCAAATAATATTTTATAGTTTCATTAAATTTTATACATTTAAAAAATTTTTATAAACTGTAATAAACTTGAAAGAGTTTTTACTTTGAAACAAAAGATTTCTTAATCACGAAAAAAATCTTTTAAACTCTTTTCAATTTTTGTATGAATCTAAAATCAGTTTATGTTAATGAAAGTTTATATAAATTTATTTATTTCCTCAAAGCTAATAAAACTAAAAAGTCTACAAAAGTTTTTTACAGAAGATTATTTTCGTTAGGTATTTATATCACCAACAATAGAAAAATGACTCAGGTTTCCTCTAAAATAATATTTGCACATGTTTTTCTGAAAATGGATTGACTTTTATGACAAAGAATCGCAAAAAGGTCTTAAAAGTTAAATAAAAAGAAAAATAATTTTATTGCATGTGTTGATAAACAATGGAATGTATTCAGTTTTTGAATTGGTCTTAAATATAATTATAATCAATAATTTTAGACAGTTTTCAGACTTAAGAATTTATAATTCTTTAATCACAATTCATTAATCTACGTTATTCTTTAATTCAAGTAGTATACATATGTATTTAAAATGAGAAACTTTGCTGATATGACCATTAAAAACAAATGGAATATTTCATAGGCACTCACTCACCGGTAAATTATATTGAATATTCTGCTCAGAGGAGTAGCTCGTGTTAATGTCTTTGAAGAAAAAAAGCATTAACATTAACTCAAATATTCCTTGTGACGTTTTTTTCATATTTAATACTTTCATTGAAGGTAGAAAAGAACTAAAAGACAAAGTAGTTTGAATTTTTCTGTGAACCTAATAATTTTTTATCAATTGTATTTAAATGGTAAATGCATGTATACTTCAGTCTGCTATCATGATTCATCATTATTAAGCACAAATCCCCTCTCAATTGCATTTAAAATGAGACAATAAAATGTATGCATCATATTTTTTATGAAAATATAATATTCTTCAGTAACTATAAAAATCTGATAATTTGAACACTTTTATTTACGTTTTGAAATCGGTCAATAACATAAATTATATATGTTTGATCGACTTTTTTCCAATTACTATAGCCAATGATATAAATATCTTCGTGAAGCAGTATTTTTCTACGATAGAATTGAAGAATTGTTTCAATTTATTAAATGATTGAAAAATAAATTTCGTAAAAATGTAAATTTCAATGTTTATTATCAATTAGCCATGATATATAAAACATGTGAATCAAAAGTAGCACTAAACTGTGTTCATCGCATTACTATAGTCTAATACTTACCAATTAAAGCTGTTTATATTATGTACGTTCATTATTTCCCTACAAAAAATGAGTTATGAAATAAGATCTGATAGCAGATCTGGTAGTGGATGTTGACGAGTGAGTTTTCTTGTGGAATCTTGCTATAAATCTTACGTTTCATGATCAACATAATCAACATCTGTTCAGGCAGTAGATTGGTAACGTAGAATAAAACACAGATGTTTGTTTAAAAACTCAGCTAATGCTAGGTTAGTCATTTATTATCGTGTGAAGCTACGTTTCGTCGAGAATTTTCTCTTAAGGGGAGTCATACACCAATTGTCACACACTGGGAGTCACACTCCTCTTTGTCATATTTATGATATAAACCACAGTTTAATGTCAATCTACATTTTCAACTTTAAATTGACATCTTTGAGCCCTAAAAAATGTAATAGTATATTATGATACGTGTGACTTAAGCAGGCCATTATTGCACGGCACGGTTAGCACCCGAGCGAAGCGAGGGTGCTAGTGCCGTGTTAAGAATGGGCTACTTGAGTCATAAGTATCATACGTTTTTTTATAGCACTGTGCTAAATTCACGTTTAGGCCCCCTTTGGCGAGATATAAGGTGCTCATAATAGCGTCGCGGTGTGAGGTTAGCGCACGAGCGTAGCGAGTGCGATAGGCACGCCGCGGTGCAATAATGAGCAGCTTAAGTCACGGCAAAGCGTGCCTTAAACGTGAACTTTAGCCACGCAGTGCTATAAAAAAAGTTGCAGAATAGGCCTTGGCATCTGCGACACGGTGACTTTGCGATGCCCGGCCACCGCCGCACTGTAAAGGTCGCGAGCTCGAATAGGGCTAGAAACGCGATGTTCGAGGGAACGGGAAAGAAAGGCGAAATAAAATAAAACACAAACACTTAATTATTATTTATGAGAAATCACTTTTATTTATCAAAAGAAACTGGCGTAATTATCTGGCGCGATCACGACTAGGCACACACACTCTCGTACACGACTCTGGCGCTATTTCTTTATCGACGATCTGACGTTCTGTCTCCTTGGCGATGATTCTTAATTAAGTAGACTCAGGCAATATGGGCACAGGCAAATCGTATTCCCGGCGGTCAAAGACCACAGTCTAAGGTATCGCGAACCGGCTCTCCGTGACTATAATCAACTTACGCGATAACTGTTGAGTCGCTCTCAACGCTTCTCAAAACACTAATTACTCTCTCACACTGAACACGTCTCACACTTCTCAACCCTGCTCGCTCTCTCTCTCTCTCTCTCTCTCTTAAACTCACTCGGCACAAAGACTCACTCGTACCTCTACTCACTCGGCACAGAAACTCACTCGTGCCTCTACTCACTCAGCACACAGACTCACTCGTGCCTCTACTCACTCGGCACAGAAACTCACTCGTGCCTCTACTCACTCGGCACAGAAACTCCCTCGTAACTCTTGTACTCTCTCGCTCATGGTCAACACGTGAATGCCACACCGACGCAGCTCGTTCTCGCTCTCTCACGTCACGCACCCTAGCGGCCCTAACTCCAAATTAGTTATTGTCCGGCGCGAATTACAATTTATGAAATACATCGGCTCTCTTATTTGCTCTTCTGGCGCAATACTCCGGCTCTGGCGTGGTTCGCTCATCAGAATCACTGCTCGGCTCTGACACGAAATTCTGTAGTGTCACACATCTAAAAATAGCTCATTTGTCTCATCTGTGCGCAAGGTTCAGATCAGAGTTATTCAGGTGGGAGATGCTGATAGGTCTCAAAATCTTCAGAAAAGTATCCTTTATGGGCTGAGTTTTGTGGAATTTTGATTAGAGTTATAAAAAAGTTTGTATGCCAACAGATGTGAAAAAATCAAGAAATAAAAAAAATTTATCAATGTTTTTTAGCACAAATTGAATAATACAACTGATATGAAGGTCTAAATCAAAATTCCACAAAGCTCAGCCCATAAAGGATACTTTTCTGACGATTTTGAGACCTATCAGGATCTCCCACCTGAATAACTCTGATCTGAACCTTGCGCACAGTGCCGAAAGGCTTTAAAATAGCAAAAATGAGCTATTTTTTTATGCAAAGGCCTATTCTGCAACTTTATTTTCACATATTTTAGGGCTCAAAGATGTCAATTTTATGTTGAAAATGAAGATTGACATTAAACTGTGATTTATATCTCAAATATGACAAAGAGGAGTGAATTGGTATATGACTCCCCTTAAAACATAGTTTTGAATCTCACTCTTCTCTTGATTAGCCTGATGAGGTCAAGAAAATTCTCGTCGAAACGTGTCTTCACACGACAATAAGTAACCAACTTGGCATTAGCTGGGTTTTTACACAAACATCTGTGTTTTATTCTAAGTTATCAATTTATTACCTAAATAGATTGACGGGAGAATTTATATAAATTTACTTTACTAAAACACATAATGGCAACTATCGGAAGATCAATATACATAGTCTAATATCCAGACCTTCTATCAGATTTCGAGTAATTATTTTAAAATATCATTGAATCTTCGATTTACGTTTACTTTGATCTTTGGTTTAATTAGAGGAAAAAATAGTATTTCGAGCTGATATTTGAAAATACACATATAAATTACACCTCACGTTCCGCCCTTTCGAGATTATACTTTTACTTGTAGCTTCCTAAGCTGCTCGCCAAAGTTACAACGCATTCTTTATATAGAGAAAAAGAAACTCCGTGGGAGAGGCGCGCCTCGCGTCAGTCTAACGTGTGCTGCTTGCTCATACTTTCTTGCGTTATCGCCAGACACACATCGTGTAAATCTAACCGTTAAGGAGATTGTCTTGGGTAACACACTAGTCAATTAGGAATTTTTTCTGTACAAGTTTGACCGCGAGGGCGCAGACGTGTTTTGGGTATTCCTGTGTATTTAATATATCTATGTATATCTATAGACATATGTGTGGCGCCTTCATCCCAGCAAAACGAGAGACGTCGCTCACGGCGCTGCTTGGGTCTCTCTCCAAGCAGCGATGATCGTTGACAGCGCGAGCTGCGCGCGTCGATCGGCCGAGAGTGAGAGAAGTCGATCGAGCTTGGATCTCGTCGACGAACGATCAATCGACCACTCTCTCTCTTCGTGCTTTCACAACACGGTGAAAATTTTGCGCGCGCTTTTCTCTTTTCGCGCCAAAAGAAAAAGCCGTTGGACTCTCAAGTAACGGAAACGAAGTATGGTCATTCCCCGAGACGACAACCGGCGGGCGAATTTCGAGGACCAGCAGCAACAGGCACCTGGAGCGAACGGCCAGATGAACCAGGATCAGCAGCAGCAAGCACTTGGAGCGAACGGCCAGTTGAACCAGCTGCCTGGCCCGATGGACCAGCAGCAGTGGCAGCAGCAGCAACAGCAGCAGGCTGGACTGATCAACCAGCCACATCAGCTCGGTGCAGGCCGTGGCGACGACGTTCCACCACAGGGGGTCGGCGCTATGAGCAACTGCCGGCTTCCCCCTTTCTGGTGCACCGGACCCGAGCTGTGGTTTTTCCAGATCGAGTCACAGTTCCAGGTGCACAACGTCACCAGTGACTCAACGAGGTACCACCTGGTCGTGGCGGCTCTGGACGTGGACGCCATCGCCGAGGTCTCGGACATCATCCGCCGACCACCTGTCGTGGAGAAATATAACACGCTCAAGACGGCACTAATCTCGCGGATGACGGACTTACCCGAAGTTCAATTGCACAAGCTGCTGACCGGCGTGGAGCTTGGCGATCGACGACCCTCGCAACTCTTACGCCGCATGAGGACGTTGGCCGCACCGGCAAATGTGAGCGACGAGGTGCTCCGAAGCAGATGGCTGGATCTTTTGCCGCCGCAAACGAGACGCCTGCTTCTCGTCATCAGGAATCAGTCGCTCGAGGATCTCGCGGCAGTAGCCGACGAGGCTCATGAGGTCGGCCCGTTGGTCATGGCAACGAGTCCCTCGCCCCGGAGGTCCCAGTCGCCGTCGAACCAGGTCGCGCAGGAGCTCGCACAGCTCCGCCGAGCTATTGAGCAGCTCACTACCATTACGCGCGAGTCCATTGGATCTAGCAGTGGCCAACGAGGTCGCTCCAGGAGCCGTGGGAACCGGCCGGCAAGAAACAGATCGCCTACGCCAGCGAACAACGCGAGGACTGGATATTGCTGGTACCACGCGACCCACGGCGACGTCGCGGACAACTGTAAGCCAGGCTGCACGCATCCGCTGACGAAATACCCATCAGCTCAATCGGGAAACTAGAGCTGCTGGCTCTGAATTCGGCGCTCACCGTCAGCAGCATGCAGGAACGCCGACTCTACGTCACCGACCGAAGAAATAACATCAGGTTCCTCGTCGACTCTGGCTCGGTTCTCTCGATAATTCCGAAGAGGATTTTTCGCAGGCCCCTCGTCAAGCAGGCCCTCGTGCTGCAGGCCGCGAACGCAACCCTCATTGTGACGTTCGGTGAAAGGAAGCTCACCCTCAACCTCGGATTACGGAGACCGCTCGAGTGGACTTTTATCGTCGCGGACGTCAGCACGGCAATCCTCGGAGCGGACCTCATCATCCGACACGATCTGCTCATCGACCTCCCTCGCCGTCGCCTACTCGACCGACTGACCAACGTCGCAGCGTCGTTCTCGTCAAAGACCTCGTCAAGAAAAAAGAAAGGCTCGCCTGGACACCGGAGGCCGAAGCCGCTTTCGAGCGCACCAAGAAGGCGATGACCGAGGCGGTGCGTTCATCGTTCTTGTCGCCGTCGCAGCCGCTCGCTCTCTACACCGACGCCTCGGACACGGCCATCGGTACCGCGCTGAACCAGCAACGCGAGAGCGGAGTTTGGGTGCCGCTCGGGTTCTTTTCAAGGAAGCTCTCGCCAACGGAGCAGCGGTACTCTACGTACGACTGCGAGCTTTTGGCCATTCACGCTTCGATAAAACACTTCAATACCCTCAATCCGTACATATGTACACAAATGTATATACAGTGGTGGCCGGTTGTAACGAGATTCACGGGACCATCGAAAAATTCTCGTTCTATCCGGTCCTTGTTATAGCCGACATGAGCATTAATCACAATAATTTTTTTGTTATTTACCAGTTTCATTTTTTTATCAGATAAGATGAGATTATTATATGTATTGATTATTTATTTACATTGGTATGAATGATAATAATATAATAATATCATAGATAATAACATAAATTAATTGTATTAGTTATTAAAATTACAGAAAAATGTTCATGAAACTCAAAATTTTAGTTTGTACTAGCTTTACTGATTTTTGTTTTAAATGAAAATTAGAAATACTTGATTTCATTATACTCTCACGATTTTTCCAAATCGTCGAAACAGTTGAGGACGGTAGATCATAAGTAATGCAAACTACGGTATGAGATTTACCATTTTGAATGATAGAATACTTATCGCTCATTGAAAATGTCTTCCTTTTTTTTGGATTAAAATCTCCCATTTTCAAATTTTACGAAGAGAAAAGTACAAGATATACGTTTTCCCTACGAAAGCAACTGTAAAACTGATCATTTAACTTGCTTAAAGTAAGTTTTTGGTACATAATTCTGTGTTATTGAGTTTGCGTACGAGTATCTAGCTACGAGTGTAAACACACAATTTCTCGTTATAAACGTCAATTTTTTCCTAATTTTTCCTAATTTTTGCTCGTTATACCCGAGTTCTCATTATATCGAACTCGTTATATCGATCAAATTTCCTATACTTAATGCATTGGAACCAACCAAACGTCCAAAATCTTCTCGTAATAGCCGGTCTCTCGCTATATCCGACCTTTTTATAAACGGTCTTCACTGTAGATATATTAAATACACAGGAATACCCGAAACACGTCTGCCCTCTCGCGGTCAAATTTGTACGGAAAAAATGCCTAATAGTGGGACTAGAGTTTCCGCTTAAGGCTCCTCTATACAGAGGGACAAATACCGACATACCGATATTATTTTGTACCCATTTTTTTTATTTTCTAGACAACCGTTGAACTTGAAATTTCGTGGGAGTGATTATGAAACTTATAAAAATGTGCCTCTGGGGCCAGTTTTCAATAAAATGTTTAATAAAATCATTTTAACTAATTGTTTGAGAATACGTTACTTTTGAGGTTATAAAAGAGGGATAATAGAAAATCAAGTTTGTTTGAAAGTACCGGTCATTTAATTGAAAACTGGCTCCAGAGGCACATTTTTATAAGTTTCATAATCACTCCCACAAAATTTCAAGTTCGATGGTTGCCCAGAGAATAAAAAAAAATGGGTACAAAATAATTACGTACTTGTTATCGACTGAGTGTGTATAGAGGGCCCTTAACTAGCGTAGCATCTGGTAAAGCGCTGCCGGTAATGACGTACACGCTGGCTACACCGATGCAGACGTGCTTACATATAATTTAAACACGCACTCCGAACCCGCGATACGCAACGGGCTTGCATTATTGTAAGAAATTTATTGATTATTATTAAGAATTATACTGAGGTGGAGTGTAAAAAAGAAAAGACGCAATTCCTACCAAGTTGTTTTGCAGTCCTGAAACCCGACGGCTCTACTAGATTTATATTAAATTTAAAGAAATTAAATAAATTTTAAGCTAGAAAATATTTAAACAGTTAATAGTGTAACCGTTGCCGTGACCGATATTCAAATTCGTAAAGAATGCTAGGCGATGCGCTCCCTCGCTCTGGTCGCCGGCTGGCTCAGTACTCGGTGCGACAATTCGCACCGACCGCGGCGGTGTCGTGGTCCAACCTAGGATAAAGTAAACGGGAAGGTCTTGCCGAAATAATAGAGACGGGAATTGAATAGGCAAAGTAATAAAGTATTTATTCAATGGATTTTCGAATAGCGAATGCAGCAGCGCAATCGCGGACTCACTCTCAGTCACACAGAGACGCGATTGCACACGCAGGAGAAGCAGAGTACTCGAGTGGTATTTACAGGTGTTGTAAGCCGTCAATGGCCGCTCGCAGTAGTCACAGTTGGCTGACCGTCTCACTCGCATGGACTGCTGCTCACACGCACAGTTCGCGAAGTCGCAATCACAAAATATAACGTGAGTCTAATTCACAAGCGGGAATTATGCTGGAGATACTTCTCGCGATTTGATCGGTTCGTTCTTGATCGACCCGTGTCGAATATACGCCCGCTCAAGTCGTGCGAATCTCGCGTCACGCACTTGCAGCGTTCAATCGTATTTCTATCTCGCGACAGGTCGGATTTCGGAGCAACGCACACGATGTTGACTCTCTCGCGGTCACCGAGCATCTCTCGTATGCACGAGCTTCACGCGCTCACAAGACGCTCTAATTGGTCATGTGACCAATTAGTAGGCCCTTGCTCTGTAAGGCAGAAGGAGACAGGCGATTCCACGTGCGCTGACATGTGGATTCTCTCTCGCATACACGTACATTTACACACACGCGTGTCGCTGTGGCTGCTGCGTTAGATACAGGTTGTGTTTATGTCCCATCACAGTGGGACTGCGTGCTGAAGAGGGGAGAGACATGTGACAGCATAACGCGACTGTCACAATAAGATATTAATAAAGCTAATAGGGCTTGGTGCTGACATGCTCTCTATTGACATGAGAAACGCATATTTGACAATTTCAGTCCGGAAATAAGATTAAAAATATTTAAAATTTTGTATCAATAAGAAATTCTATAAGTTCGTATGCTTACCTTTTGGCCTGTCTACAAGTCCTTATGTTTTTACAACGATTTTTGCAGAATTTCCGTAGGAATTTCGAGCTTTTCTCACAAATTAGAAATTTGAATCCTCCAGAAATGCATGGATATTTTACAAGAATGCTTCAGGTGCATAAGAAATTCCAAGTGGTACTTGTAGAGAAGGGCACGAAATTCCTACGGAAATCCTGCAAAAAAAATTTTTGGAGTAAAAATATAGCTTTCAATGAACAAAAAATGCAATGAAATTTTTTCTAAGAATCTATTTTTATAATTACTTTTTTTTTGAAAGACATTGATAAAATGAGTATAATGGATACAATCTTACTATTAATGAAGGATTAACAATATGATAAAAAATATTTGTACTGTTAGAACCAATAACTATAATAAATCTTCAAAAGCAGCTTTCAATATCTGCCACTTCGTTTAATGGACTTGGTTCTGAAACGCTTAAAATTGGCAATCCAAAATTTTTCTGTTGAGCAACTTCTAATGTATCCTTCTGAAATGATTCATTTCCAACATTGGTAGAGCTTTCGGAGATATCAGAAGGAAGTTTCTTCGTATTTGATTGGTATTCATCAAGTGATGTTTGTGGATTCACAGAAATTTCCAAATGTTTAGTATGACAATTATTTATTTCATAAGAGGTCCTGTAACATCTTTACTCCAGCAATTTTTGCCAGGATAATTGGTTTTTTATTTGTTTTAAATTTGAATATACTTTAATTAGAATATTAAGGGTTCAAAATATTCAAGGTAGTTCATGTTAAACCTATTCTTGATACACTAACAAGGAGAGCCTTTCATCTGCGGGTCACAAATCCTTACCAAACTTGTTTAGGGATCTTCTTGTACATAATAATGAAGCCCCCTATGGTTACTTTATTCCAATGGGCCCTGGAATCCACTATAAAGCACCATAAAGTATATAATATAATATAATGTATAAAATACCATATATTAGCGTATAATAATATCAGGTTTACACAGTCAAGTCTAACTGATTGAGAAGTATTTATACTTTGAGTTTTTAATGTCCAAAACACCTTTTCAATCAATAAACAATTTAACTCAATTGGTTTACTGAAATTCTCAAAGAGTGAATCAATTCAAGCTAAAATTTATGCATTTATCAACTAATATATTTATATTAAATCATGTAAAAATGTTTTCATTTATAAAACTT